TGGGCTTTAGGGGCAGAACTGAAGTTGAATTATGAGTTGGCTACATTTTTAGTTTTGTGACTTAAAGCATGCAACTATCTATGTCTCAGTTTCCTTCTTTATAAAATGGGGATAAAATTGCTAATCATTTGATGATTAAATAAGAAAAATTATTTAAAAGCACTGAGCACAGCTCCTGGCAGTCAAAGGCATTCAGTAAATGCTAGTTTACACCTTCCATCCATACCATGTTCCTCAAATAACACCTGACAGCTTCTTTATTTTCTCAGTCACTTTGTTTGTAACACTTGGGTTCCATAATCCTCCCTCATATCACCTTTTAGAAAGCAAGAGAATAAATACTCTTCTGCCATTTCTTTTTTACAAATGCCTGCTGTATAGGCGAGCAGATTTATGTCCTAATGGGACAACATAAGATGAATTATTTAATTTTGAGATCTATACATTTTAAAACACTGACATTCACTTTAAAAAGTGGTTTGGTATCTCTACAATTCATATTATTTTATAATTTCAAAATGGTCTGAATCAGATGATTTTGGAAGGTATTGAATCATGTTCTTCCTTAACTATAAAAATTCTTTAATATTGATCTTATGCTCCATTATCAAAATTAATGGACATTTTTATAATTTAATCATAGCTGCAATTTATTTCTATGTTACAAATGTTCTTTAAATGGGTAAGATAAATTGAACTCCTTTTTGGTTTTGATTAATATTTAAATAGACATTAAAGATAAGAGAAATGCTGAATTTCCTAGATCCTAATCTATTTGGTGTGAATATCTATTTAGTATAATAAAAATAATAAAACTGATTATTTATATTTGAATTTTCAGTTTACGAAATACTTTTAACATAATATCTCATTAAATTTTTCCTAGAATGCTCTGAGGTAAGAATTACTATCAGTAATTTTTAATGAGAAAAAACAGTCTAGAAAGGTTTGGCCAAGATCCCCAGGCTTGTGTGTAGAAAGCTGGGATTCCTACTCTACTTCGTCTCTCCCATTATACATAATTATTTATGTTAATTATTTTGCATATACTTTAAGCTCAGATTTTAAGCCCATTTGTTTTAAAAAACCATTATTTGGTTTTGTTATAAAATACAAATGTATTTTTTATTGGAAAACACAATTACAGCAGTAAATGGCATTCGGTATCACCTAGTGATATGGTGAAATACACAAAGGCACACAGACTCTGTAAAAAGAATAAATTTATATATGGAACTGGGTGATTTGGTATATTCAGGATATTATGTAAAGATATGCCAAAGGTTGAGGACATTATGCGAAGTGAAATAAGCCAGTCACAAAAAGGACAATACTGTGTGATTCCACTTATACGAAGTCTCTAGAGTAGTCAAATTCATACAAGCAGAAAGTAGAATGGTTGTTTGCCAAGGGCTGGGGGAGGGGAGAATGAAGGGTTGTTTAATGGGGACGGAGTTTCAGTTTTGCCAGATGGAGAGCGTTCTGGAGATGCTTGGTGGTGGTAGTTTCTCAGCGATGAGAAGGTACTTAACACTACTGACACGTACACTAAAAATGCTACAGATGGTCAATTTTATGTTATGTGTGTTTTACCACAGACAAAAAAGGATAGATAAACCAAAGTTTTCCAACTTTTTTGCAAATATGGGTTAACCATGCACTTGTTTTTATAATGTAAATGTAATTTGACATCTTCAAAAATGTCTTTTGAAAACTTCTAGGTTCATATAGAGCATCATTCTTCCCCACTAAAAGGTCCCAAAGTTTTTCCTTGTTTGCAGATGGTGTAGAAATGGATAGTATAACGTAAGTTCATACATGTTTTGTGTTAAGAATTGCAGCAAATTTCAGGAAACTTAGGCTTACAACGATGAGTTTGTGAAATAACATGAATCACAAACGTACGGCATCCGAATTAACACTTGAGGGGAGAGCAGATCTTTATGAGGTCTTTGAGGGGAAGAGGGGTACCCCAGTCAGGTGGAAAAAGTTGTGCAAAAATGTGGGGTGGGAGGCTACGGCAGCCACCGGTCTGGCAGTGCTGGTAAGGGAGCGGCGGCTGCCAGCCAAAGCCCAGCCTGAGAAGGGCCTGGTGTGCCAAGTGGAGCACTCTGGAAAATCCTGGCTGATGAGGGCTCAGTGAAGCATTTGAAATCGTGTGCATTTAGCAGAGTCATTCCGACACCACTGTGAAGGGCAGACTGGAGAGGAACAGCTGGAGGCAGGCATGGGCTGCTGGCGGAGCACGGAGCACGCTGCAGCGGTGGGGACAGGCAGAGTGGAGAGTCAGGGGCTCAGAGACAGGCTGCTGACTCAGGCGGACTTTCGGATCTACTTTGGATTTTAATAAATAACTAGTTATACCACAATTTCCTCAATGGACACAAAGAATGATTGTGTACTGCAATGATGAATAAGCTAAATGTACTGATCTAACCAGCACATATTGTACACAATTATTGAAAATCAACGTTGTACCCCACATGTATGTATAATAAAAAAAAAAAGAAAAAAAAAACTGGTTATAAGGGGAAGGTTTTGAAAAAAAAAAAAACTAGTTATAAGTGGAATGTTCTGAAAATAAAGACAACTAATGGAATAAGAAACAATCTGGTAGTCACTGCTAACAATATTCCAGCACATATCCAGTTGTCTTCTATAAGAGAGTTTGTTTATATTTGAACAAAAATTCTTACCTAAGATCTTGAAAGGGGTCAGCTCTGACCAGAGGTGTCTCCACTGAATGTTCAAAAAGTGCTCCTTCAGGCCCTAAACAAAAACCAAAGATGTGTCAGGAACAAAAGTAAAGTAAGCGGCCCCAAACAAATTCAGGATTTATTCTACACATTAAAGCACAAGTAGGTTTTGTTCTTTGAGTCAGTGCAGGTGTTTGAGTTGCAGGGAGAAAAACAGGCCCAACTGTTTCTCTGTTCTTCTGACGATGCCACAATTTCACTAGGTTCCTATCAACAGAATATAATTTTCAGAGCAATTACAAATCAGCAGTCTTATTTTAAAACTGAAGAGCAAAATTGCCCTCCCATTGAAAAAGAAAAAAACTCCTGCTGAAAATTGCATAGGTTCATATATTTTAGGTAATAGTAATTTGACAATTTTCTAGATTTTATGTGTAAAAATTATTATCTTGTGCCATTGATTACTAAGGCACATCAGGATATTTATAGAAAAATCAAGTTTTAGGTATTTTATTTTATTTTTTAATTTAATTTTATTTTGTCAATATACAATGTGGTTGATTATTGTGGCCCATTAACAAAACCTCCCTCCCTGCTCCCGCTCCCGGATCTTCTAATTTCTAGGAATCAGTGTGTTCCCAGTTTCATTAGTCTGAGAACCTAATTACAAGGGGTCTTCGAAAAGTTCGTGGGAAGATTTGTATACATTCTAATTCTATTTTTCTGTGAACTCTTTTGAAGCACCCTTGTGTATGCAAGGCCCTGCGGGTGCAGGGACACAGCTGAGAGTGATGTCCTTTTTGATGTGTCCTAACTTGTTTAACACTCAGAGCCCTACCACGATGGTAATATTTTCCCATTTTACCCATGAGGAAACTGAGGAACAGAAAGGTTAACTAACTTGACTAGGTTACACAGCTGAGAAACGGCAGGGCTGTAATTTGAATTTGTGGCCCACACCTTTACTCTGTACACTATAAGGTTTCTCATACACAAATAAACAGTATGACAGAAAGCATGAGCCAGTAGCATAGAGTGCAACTAAGTTATTTTGGGGGTCATTGGTGGGAAGAATTACTTTAAGGCAGCAGAGAAGACTGGATAGGAAAATGCAGTGGGTCTGAGTCTTAAAATAAATAGACATTTATAAACATATGGAGGTTGTGGCAAGGATTTCAAGGAAAGAAAGAATAATCCAGTTCACTGGAAAAGGAAAGGATTCAGCATGGACACAAACATTTATCTTTCATATTATATTTAAAATATTTCTCCTCTTGATTTTTATATGCAGCACACAGATTTAAGTGGCACCACACTACCTGTACACATCACCCTGATTCACCTAGGTCGGCTGTGCCTATCTTAGCCCCCACCCCAGGCTTAGGCCCCCACCCCTGGCTTGGGGCATGTCCCTGGCTTAGCGGCTGGAGATGTAGCTTGCAAGTAATTTGTATCTCTCCCTCTTGGTTCCAAAAGGATCTCAGGAGTCTTTCTCACACTGTGCAGACTTTCCTCTTTAGGGAATACTGAAAAAATTAAAATGTTTATTTTTTTATCTACCCTTGTACTAGTTTTATGCTAGGTATTGAAAAAAAATTGCCTGGGTGAAAGTTTACCAGATCAAGGTCTTGTCTGCAGCCATTAGTAATTTAGCAATTTGCAATAACCTCACATTTCCCCCACAATATTACTAACTATATTAGCTTCGTCATTATAATTACTGCTTCTTTAGTAATTTTGTTTAAATATAAAGACATGACAAAAACCCACATTGAAAGCCCTCACTCAAGAAATAATAGCTTGTGGCACATAAGTAAAAGAGACTTAAATTAGTATGAAATGAAATTTTAAAGTTACAACCAGATTTAGTAACACAATTTACATAAGAACTATAATCAA